TCAACGGATGGCATTTTCACAACTTTCAACCACCCAACCCCTAGGCAGTCCGGACGCGCTTTAGCTTTGTGGGCATGCTCGCGCGGCTGAATGTTTCTACCGGTTGGCTGTTTGTTGCGGTGCAGCAGGCTACTTGCAGGAGGCGTTCAAAGGCTTCCTGTCGTTTCCAACATGGGATTTCTGCACAGACAGAACAGTCCCAGCATGTTCTCACTGATGAACGAACAAGACAGCAAGGTTGGCTGAATCGCTGCGCACACCACACATACAGAAACTCCAAATCAGAAACCTCGCCCTGGGCTTTGCTCAACACTTCAAGAGCAACCGGAGAAACTCTGACTAAGAGGCAGGCACCCACCGGCTCAAGAGCGCACTCATGGGCATGTAGAAATACCTCAAGCGTTGTAAGTCAAAGCACAGAGCTTGCTTTCACTAAAACATGCGATGTATGGGAGCACAACGGCCGCTCGGCACAAAGCCTCAAACCGTATTTCGGTTCTTCTGACAGCGTCGGCATCCCCGACAGGCGCGGCAGAGCTGCAGATTTTGGAAGATGAAACAGCCCAAACGCCAAGCATCCCTGTTCAAGCAGTGGCAATGGCCAGTACTAAAGTTACTAGGGATATGTTCCGGTGCTTGTGACAGTGGTGAAAGTACCGACAAAGCATGATGCTAGGCCAACATCAGCAGCAACTGCATGCCATTGTTGCAGCCCAAGCCGTGGACCCCAAGACGGTGTTCACAGAAGCGCTGATCCCCGCACCATAGGCCTGGTCCGGCACGGGCAATGCGGGGCTTGTGAAGGAAGCTACAGCGGTGGAAGCTGAGGGGGGAAGGGTTTCTGGAACCTCACTCCGAGACGAGACTCTCTGATTATCCTTGCCAAGTGCTGGACCGGAATAGCTTGCCGACTGCTCCTGGTTCTCACGCTGAGCACTTCCTTGTTCAAAGTGCCTGCATCCTTGGAGTACATAAATAAGTGGTCCGGTCGGGGTCAACAAAGATCGATCTTCGGAAACGCCGGAATCGTAACGACACCCCGAGGGCAGGCTTGTCTTGCGAGCGAACAACTGTTGAAGAGTGGCTCCTAACGCGGGATGCACATGTAGCGTAAACCCGCAGGTCCACGAACATTCATTGAGAACCGACATCAAGCTCATGAGCGCAATTGATTCGTTCGTGTGTCGTCAAGTTGTCGAAGCTCCAGGCAGTAGCTGCCCTTGTATCAGACCCAAACACAGATCGAAAACTCATTGACACCCCCACACTCTCTGAATTCCAACCCACGCCAATCACAGCCTGCCGCCCAAGCAAGAATGATTAAGCACCTTCATTTGCAACGTCTGGCCGATGGAGAAACACGCCGCGACCGGCACGCACCTCGCCACACCGTCACTAGTCACTAGACCGTACATGTCACTCAACCGAGGCATGCAACTCAGTCAGCTGCGACAGGGCATCACGCCATAAAAGGGAAGCCAACACTCCTGCGGCAGGCGGCTTAGTAACATGGCGAAGTCAAGTGTCAAACACAAAAAGGTGGGGTCTTCTATCCTTCCAGAGCTTTGACGATTTGACGATTACAGGTTTTCCAGGTATGCAGAGTTATGGTCTCGGGAGTTGTAGTTGCTGGTTGTGCTGCAAGTTACTACATACAACTGAAGCACCCCAAGGAAAAATTCTGGCATCAAGGCGCCTATTTGACGATAGAATGTCTACAGGGTGGAAAAGTCCAGGGAAAACAACTACTCCAGCAAAGGAAGTGCTTAACTGAGTTGTCCTTTAAGCCCGCTGAAATAATAGGATTATGGTTCTACAAAATAGTAGGGGAAATTCAAAAAGATCCCAAAGGACAACCCAATTAATTTCAGTTTGGCACCTGGGTGTTGATCCGATGCGGTCAGGAATTGTGGCTCTGGGATCGTGGCGAGCGGAAAGTGCAACTGATAGCGTGCAATCGACATCAACGGCACCCACCGTCCAGCCGCGCGGCTCGATAGAGGTAGCAAACCATGACTGAAGGTCTCCTTCTCGACCGTCCAGGACGGCTGACATCAGGATGCCTGGTCGGGCTGATGTTGCGGCTTCGACTGTCAGGGTGTGTGAGTTCGAAGTCGGTTCAACGTTTGGGGTTCAAGCGACTTGGTGGAGTTGTGGGTCTTTGCTTTCGGGCCAGGTACACCGTTGCGCCCCAATCTGGAAACGACCCCCCCCCCCCACCCTTTCGACATCGGGCACTAAGTTCTTGCTAAAAGATTGCCACAAACATGTGGCTGTAAAGACAACACATGCCATTGCCAGTTATTATCTCTTAACATCTGGAGACTTGAATAAATGGCACAGTGAAGCTTCAATCCTTAAGTTTCCAGTTCCAACGAATCCTTTCCACCATTCGACTAAACAGTGGCACGGGACACGCCATCCTAAGCTGAGCTGCCGATTGGAATCGATGATGCTGACATCGTCCAAACCACGGACTGTTGCACGATGGGCGTATCTGCGATTGCCTGGCTTCAGGCACTAGAGGGCTTGGGGATTCTGAAGCGTTTTTCGATTGTCAAGTGAGGGGTTCAGAACGTTTCTGTTGGCGAGCTCAGGGTCTTACTGCAATACGGCAAGCAAACCATGCATCGTCTTCCATCTGGATCTCGCGATTGAGACGGCCATGTTTTTCCCAAGGGCTAAGCAACAAGCCCTCCGCAAAACAAGTGCCCCAACCCTAAACCCTAAACTTCTGCCTTGAATGGTGGGTTCTTGAATTCTGAGACCTCGGAAGTCCGGTCGAGGAAGAGACAAATCGAACTTAGGACGAGCCGCCTCCCAGGCTGGCTTCAGGGTAGGGCTTCGGCCATAGCATTACGATGTAAGAGCTTTAGGAGTGCAGCTACAAGGATCTTGAATGCCTATACCCAGAGGCTCCATAGTAGTTCCTTTTTGGGATTACCTTATATGAACCACCAAAAGGAACTACTATGGAGCCTCTGGGTAGCTTCCCAAGAATGAAGAATGAAAGCTGCCAGGCACGTGCTTTCGTCATGATATCTACAAGGTGTTTCAAGCATTTAGATGCGTTGCGTTGCGAAGGTTTCAATGAGCGCAGCCGGTGCTGTTAGGAACGACTGCAACAAACGGGCCAGTGCAAACGACGGCCAACCCTGCAGGAAAACAGGTCCGGCCGTACCCAGGCGTTCACGAGGTTACGTGCAGCATCGGAGAAGATGAAAGCAACCACACACAGCACCTGTTGTCGAGGGTGCCGGTTGAGCCGTAGCTTCATAACAGAACTAAAGAGAAGGAACCGCGAGAGCCCTAAACCCTCGAACCCAATGGCCTGTTCTTTCCGGACCAATACATGGACCCAAAAAAGTATGTAGAATATGGACCATTATTTTACCTGCTTTTGGGGGTCTAGGTATAAGCGTAACTTTAAGGAACCTAGGACTACAAATAGGGAATAACGGTACTACTGGGCATCCTAGCATACAAACAAAACGGATGGTCTTCAGTCCGCACAACTTCGATGCGGGCACTCCTTCGGACTAGCATCGCCTCTCTGGAGGCTTCCACGGAGAGTTTCGGACTTGGGCCCCTATATTATAGAACCCAACTATAGATCCCTTATAGACCCTTTAAGGATCCCTTTAAAGGAACCCTATAATTATATTCTAATTCATCGGATGTTCGTGCTCACTCTTTGGGGTTTCGAGACGTTTAAGGTCAGTAAACTTCTCAAATCGAACGCGAGCTGAAGTACCTTCGAGACGAGGAAGGAGTATGGGCCAGGGGAAGCCACGAGGTTGAGAATATGTCGGGCCTGCTCCAAGTCGCTTGCTTTTTCTATTCTACTTGTTCTTCTTCTGGCCTCGCCTGGATCACTGTCGTTCATGAAACATATGGGAGTTTCCGAAAATAGGGGGCACCTTATTTTGGGGTCCTTATAATAAGGATCCTACCATTTAGGGGTACTAGATTCGGGTGTCCCATTTTCGGAAACTCCCATATAGCTGAACCTTGAAATCATACCACGCAGACTGCTCCCACTGCACCTGGCCTGGGAAGAGATCCCGGCCTGTGAAGAGCGGGCAGAGGTGGGACGCAGATAGAGCAACCGGACACGAATCATGAAGAGCGCTGCACGATTGAACGAAGCTGTGAGGAAACCACAACCCTAAACCCTAAAGCGTAAACCCTAAACCCTAAACCGGGCGCTGCACGAGGAAAGATCCGAGACTGCGGCGGAAGAGGAGAGCCAATTCGTCAACTTCGTGTTCAGGTTTTGTGCCTAGCGTCAGGCTTGGGGCTTTTTCTGTGGGCTCGGGGTTTTGGACATAGAACGTGTTACTCGTTTGGGTTTTCGGGATAATCGGGGTTGGGGGGTGACAGGGTTTTACAAGTAGATACATGCGTGCGTCTGCCTGGGTAGCAAGACTCGGAAGCAACGCAGGGCTGAAGGGCTGAGGGCGCTGACCTCCTCGAACCAGGCACCTGAGGCGGGAGAGATTCAGATATCACCCAAAGTGTACCAACTTACGAACTGTGCTGCTCTTGGAAGGTAAGCCCACCACCATTCTTGCCGAGCCCTAGGAGAAAAGAGCAGAACGCGCAACAAACCTGAAGGACTACCATTCTCTAGAGGCCTTATAGTAATTAGAAACGGATTTTGGGGCCAATTACATCAAAAAACAAGGAGCCCCCCCAAAATGGCATAGGTAATTATTCAGGCCTCTGTAGTAAAACGAAACTATGGGATTCACAGGTTGGCGGCTGAGGGTCCCCCACTCAGGATTCCCATCACAAAGATTCCCGAAACTCCTCAACACTCAATGTTTCAAAGAGATGCAAAACCCCAGCTGCACCCTGCTGTAAATTTCAGGGCGGCGCGATCCAAGAAAAAGATTCGCGGCCGCTCCTGTCGAAAGCTTGGCTTGCTCGGACGCTGAAGGTTTAGGCTTGCTTACACCTGGGGTTCAGCACGTCGCAGGCAAGTTGCGAGATCGACGTCAGTGACAGATTGGTTCCTGATCCTGCTCCCGCCCCTCCTCCCCTCCTACTACGACTGTGACCTCTACTGGCACTGCTACTGCTACTACTACCACTGGACCGCCAGAAATACTAACAACTAACACCACCACCACTACTACTGCTGCAAGACTGCTGCTATCAGTCTTCTGCGACGTCGTGGTCGAAGACAGTTCACAAAAGACGACGCAGTTAACTGATTGAGTTTCCATCCGTCCCAGGCGCTTCTTTTTCTTTGCAGCCGCAGTCCAGCGCGTGGCTCTGAGCTGTACCTTGCGGCTCAGTCTGAGTCGTCCCTGTCCGCATCGTTGATGTTGAAATACCTCAAATGCGAAAACAACGGTGTGCGAGAAAGCACAAACTACTTGAACAAGACCTCGTGGCAATCTCCAAACGTCCCCGGAGAACTCCGAGGGCATGTTGGCAGCCCTTCACACTGGTAGCTGATCTGATGCATGTTATCCCATAGTGGGATAGCATCTCTACAAGGACTGGCTTCTCAAAAGCTCAAGGACATAGCACCCGTTCTACATCCTGCATGAAGTAAAGCGAGCAGTGTCGAAGCACCTCATCTCGTATGAAGTCTTGCTCGGGGCGATGATGCGCAAGAAGTCGCGAAGGTTCTGTGCTTTCAGATACCTGAAAGCATTGCAGGAGCAGACATACGTCCAAGGCACCGATGCGACTTACCACCAAGTCAGGACCGAGGCTGTTAACACGAGTCGCCGAATGAAACTGAGCCGAAGATACTTCTTCCCCAAGTACTTCAGGTAGCGCTTGGAGAACGGTGCCTTCGCAAAGGCAGAGGTAGGCACACGGATGGGCACATGCACTACCACTGCACGTCATAGGCGATAGCCAAGACTGACATCGAGTGACATAGGGACACAGGTAGACAAAGGGATGGCAGGACCCAACCAAGTCGTGAACATCCCGAGATCCTTGCCACGATCGCTGGACACTGGTATCTCCAAGAGAAAACTTCACAATACCCAATACTCCGGCTCCTGCTTCACAATGCAGAAACCTGCTCGGTACTTTCCGGCCTCTGCTGTGACGTGGATCTTCGCCTTCTCGCGGCTGACGCTCACCTTGCCAAGAGCAAGGGGTCATCCCGGAGAGGCGTTTTTCTAAATTCACCCCATCCCCCTTCTTGAGCTGTCAGGGTCGGAGTTTTAGATATTCTTTCATCCAGCGAAGGTCCGATGCTGGCAGAGGCCTGAAGCCTCCCCGCGCCTTGTCGCCGAGATTGCCAGTCTTACCCTCCACCTGCTCGCGAACTGCTGCAAACCCTCGAACATCCTGAACCACTTGATCCTACTCCGGCACAGGACTTCCCGCGCCATTGTCCCATTGCCATAACCCCTCCAGCCCTCCGCAAACTCGGCCGATAGCGAGAATTGGATCCGGTGTGGGTCGATCCTACCATCCACATTTTGATGTCAGCGATGGCGGTTACGGTTACATTAAAGCAGGCGCTCCGCTAACCCCCTCCTCCAAAAAACACGAGGCCCATCGACCCTAAACCCAAGAGGGCCTTGATCCGATCCAAGAGGAACTTCTCGAAGTCCCCGAGGTCGATAATCTTGTCGTCTACCGGCTGCCTCGCTTCGAAGGCCTCTATTCAGCAACGGCCCTAAACTCAAAAGCCTGAAACGAAGGCGCTAAACCCTAAACCCCTGAGGCCCTAAACCCTAATCCCTAAACCCCCAAGGCCCGAAATCCCAAACCCTGAACTCATCCTTCTGAGGGCTTGGATTCTCACTCTCGGCGGATCTAAGCCAAGGTCTCTGGAAACGAAAGGGCTTTTCGTGATCCAAAGGGCCGAAAAGAGTCCTATGCAAGACCCGAATGATGAAAGGTGGCAGACTTCAGCCGGCAAGGTTTGGGCCTAAATATCAGCACGTGTCACTAAATCTGTGCCATCCTTCTGGACGAAGATTCCCGGTTCTTTGTTACCACGGCAGTGGAGAAAGCTGGTGCCAACCAGGGCACTGGCAGTTGATCGTAAACTTCAGCTGTGTGGCTTTCGCCTTGGGTGGTGCCTTCTTGGGCGGCATGCTGATCCTGCGACAGGGCGCAACAATCCCTTTTGCCACATGAATTTCAACTGAGTTGTTGCTTTTGGGGCACGTGTTTTTGCGGAAGGGGGGGCGGGTAGGGCAAGAAGGAGCTAAAGAGGACCTTAGTCGGCTTCGAAAGGCATAGGAAAATAAACAAAACTCTCAGTGGCTGTTGTTTCATGATGTTGCTGGAAAACCAAACGCCAAGCGTGCAACACGTCGAGAAACACCCGGTTCCTTCCAACATAATCTTGAAACCAAGTCGGAACATTAACTGAATAAGTTAATGCAAGCTACTTGCATGTTTACTAATTTTTGCGGAACCCAGGGCTGGTAACTGCGAAATGAATATGTCCGTACTGCTACCCTGGACACTTGCCGTCCTAACCCTGAACTCCAATCTCCTTGATTCCTAAAACCCTACACCCTGAAACTGTAACCCAAAAGCCCTGAAACCCCTAAACCGTGAACGTTCCAGCCTTGATGCTGAGCACCGCACCCCCCTGGTTCCAAGGGCCAAATGGCTGCGGAGATGAGTTCATGAAGCTGATATAGGGATCTTACTAATTAGAATAGGGCTGAGGGGGCCCATCAAACTTTAGTCATAATAGGGAACCCCCAAAATAGTACAGGTCATTATGGCCCCCGTAGTGCTTCTAGGATTTCGACTCGCGCACTCGCACGAAGGCAAGCACGGATTCAAGAGGTCGGGCTCTGACATGAGAATACAATGTGAGCCTTCAAGAAAGAACAGCAGCAAACGAGAAACGTAAAGCATTTAATAACCTAAAACCATATGGGCAAAACCCAAATAGCAACGAAGCTGATCTCACATTCTTCTTTAAGCAGAGACTCCTGGAGGGAGTTAGTCAAGGCTCTAGGGTGTCGGGCTTAGGGTTCAGACTTAAGCTGAGTAACGCATTGAGAGCTTCGGGGTTGCGGAGGAGGGCAAGCTGCAAGCTGTCAACATGCCTCCCCAACGTTTCTGTTGCATTGACTTGTAGCCTTGTGGTGGCAGAGAAGCCTCTTCGCGGGCTAACCGCCACTGCTTTACACCAGGGGTCGGGGGACATGAGTTCAGAGACCCTGTCAACCCAAACGAGGAACAGCGACAATGCAATATACTATAGCATTTAAAAAGTTTAAAGTATACTATGGTTTACGATAGCGGGCCTTTACAAGCAATGAGATATTGAATGGAGGTACGAGATCCATTAAACCGGCTCAGGATCAATCACAAACAGCACGCTACAAACGCACACACACACACACACACACACTCACTCACTCACTCACTCACGTACGTACGTGCACACACACACACACACACACCGACCGGGGCTCCACCTTTTCTCAGAAGCCTATTCTTAAAAAATCTTCGTCGAAAGCCTAGAAGAGAATAACGACAATAGCTCGTGTGAGGAGTGTCAACCAAAGAATGTGTTCGGTGTCTCTCTCTCTCTCTCTCTGATGAAGTCTGCTTCCAGGTGCTTCACAAGGTTTTACCTAATAACTGGAACCGTGCGAGAGCCTTCGGCCACCCGCCCTCTTTGATGGTGTCTACCTACAGAACCTGAAGTATATCATCCCTCTTCCGAAACCCCTCAACCCCTGTAAGCCCTAAGCAATTCGACCACTTTCACCCGCCCCCCCCCCCCCCCCCCCCCCCGCGACTCCTCAGGAGGGACCTCCTGTGGAGCTGGAACTGGTGGTTCTGCAATAGCTTCTTCGAACCTGTGATCGGTTTCGGCTAAGGTTTATGGGCTGGAAGTCGCTTTAAGGGTCGAGGTTGTGTTTAAGATTGCAAGCTGTGTTTACGGCTCAGGGTTTAAGGCTTCAGATTTGTCGCCATCAGACGGATCTGAACGGGACGTTAAAGGTATGCTCTCCTTTTCAACCTCTAACATAATTCCTCGAAGTTGAAACACCGACCACTGTGCTATAGGGGCCTTAATAATTAGAACAGGGTTTGGGGCCCATGACAGTATACTATATTTACAATGGCGGCCCCCAAAATAGTATTGGTATAATCATTTATATAAGCCCCTATAGTAAAGCTCCACCAGTTGCAACTCACTAGAAGCGATCCCACTGGGTGCCGCTGCTCGCAACTGATCTGCGCGTCGGGCGCAAGGCCGCTGCTCCTTCAGCTGCAGGCTCTATCGCAAGGTTCCGGGTCTATGCTGGGAGTTAGGATTAGGGGGACCCTTGGGGACATATACCCTCTGAATAAGGCCCCTTTTAAGAGAGCCAGAAGTAGGGTTCAGAAGGGGTACCCTGTAAGGGGTCTCCCTAAGAATACTACCGATATGCAGCTCTCAGAACGAAAAAAGCAGCAACACAAAAACAAGTACTTCGGGGCATCCCGGGGCTTAGAATGCTGGATTTCATTCAGACCTGTCAGGGTGACTGGATGAAAACGTTCAAGCTGCGACGATCAAACGCGCAAGCCCATCCCATCCTGGGCGCTAGATCCCACCCGGACCCTGAATCCTCAATACCCTAAACCCTGAATCCTCAATACCCTTTTTCCTAAACCGTACCAAGAGCCTTCAATCTAAGCAGCTAACTTTTGCTTCTGAGTGCTGCATCGACTCGCGCCAGAGCGATTTCCAAGCCATGTTTTCAGCAACGGGCTTGATGAATGCCGACAACGAAGCTTGACTACGCAAACACACGACCAACCCTGAACCCTGCATCAAACATCAAAAAGGCAAAGGCTTCACCCAAAATATATGTAGTACCCTACATAGTAGGATCCCTATTAAAAGGGCACCCAAAGAAGGTGCACACTATTTTCAGAAACCCCCACCACTGGTCCTAAGCCCTGGCCCGAAACAGTGGCAGGGCCTTGGCGTGCTCCGCGAAAAGGAAGACAGTCCGCCCTGCTGGCCTAGCGTTTTGTTGATACACCATGATACCCATAGGCTCCATACTAGTTCCTTTTTGGGATTCCCTTATAGGATTCTATATATGAACCCCAAAAAGGAACTACTTTGGAGCCTCTAGGTACACCCTTTCTATCTGCACCGACCCTAAACACCGTTCACCTAGGGTTGCGGGTTTACATCAAGATAGAGGCCTGATTATTCCTTCATAATTGCAGAAACCTTGTTCGAATTATTCAGTCCCTACTGGAGCCAGTCGAAGACACCTTCGGCGAGGCCAGCAACTCCAATGTCCTTTCATTAAGACCACGTTCCTGCCCGCGCCTTGGCAAGGTCTCCTCTTTGCTTCTACAATGCGGCTAGTCCGACAAAGGGTGGCTGTCCCCGGTCTCCGCTTATCGAAGGTCGTCACGAGCTAGACGTTTCCCCTACATGACGATATCAGACATATATGTTTCAGTTTCAGTTGTTTCAAACGATTGGGCCGACATTATTGAAAGAGTTGTAATGGGGCCGATTTCAATCTTTTCCAAGATCCATGGCTTAGGCTGGCTGTGCCTCATGTCTCGGTAGATAGGCCCGGTGCGCCCCTTGGGGTCGACCAACCTTGGCTGATGCTCATGGTGCGTCCTTTGGCGGCCTATCTTTTGGCACACTAAGCACAGCCACTCTGCGTCCCGGATTTTTGGAATACTCGAAATCGGCCTTATTTGTCAATGAGTTCAAACATTGGCCGCCAGTATTTATCCTTTGGAGGTGATTCTCTCCAGTCATGTCAATAGTTGATATGATTACAATCGGGGGATTTCAATTAATAGAACTGTTTCAAAACGTGAGGGGAGCCTAACAATTGAAAACGTTGAAGTCGGGTGCTTTCAAGCGTTCCAACTATTTCAATTCTTTGTCACAGGGGTGGAAGTGCCTCTAAAGAACTGAATTCTTGGCATGTCAACCTATGCAAATACAGGAACAGTCGGGCCCCCCCAATATAAACTATTTGGATTCCTTCCGCGATCCGTCCTTTTTGGAGTGATATTTCCACCGATTCCAAAGTTTAAGGCTGCGGGTTTAGGGTGTATCGGGTGGAGAGAATAAATCACGAGACTCATGGACATAATTGCAATCTAGGATCTGGCATAGTTAAATTTTTTCAACGACGTGGGGCCACCCAATTTGTTGAAATGATTGAACCAGTTCAATTCCTCAGACTTCAGTCCTAAACCCTAAACCCTAAACCCTGAAATGAGGGTGGAAGCGCCTCCAAAGACCTGAAGACCGGGATTTCAATCCCTTGCAAATCCAGGACCTTCAAACAAGGTTTAGAGTTAAGGGTATAGGTTTTCGGGTTTATATAGGGGTTAGGGTTGAAGGATCTATCCTCTTGGGTCGGTCCACTTATCAGTTGAAGTTCTTTCAGTCTTTCATGATGCCATTCGTGATTGAGTGATATTGCTGGGTGTAAGGATAGAGTGATTTCAAATTGGCTCAGTCCCAAATGCAGCTCGGCCATTCGTGGCAATCGCATGCCCTTTACTGTCTTTCTCTGTTCTGGTCGTGTTCGTGAGTGCAATCTGAGACGATGTCTATGTCGTGTGCCTTAAAGGTACCAGGCTGTGGCCGGCTTGCTACCGTCGCATGGCGATGGCACATTAGGCTTCACACGGCAAAAGATGTGTCGCTGCGTGCAAAGCAGAAGGTTTCCCTCCTTTCCGAGCAATTGAAACCACTGAAAAGCAAGTCAAACAATCGAACTCGGGGGCAATCAGTTGTTTCAGGAATCTGGCAACCGACTTAGTTGAAACCGACCGCGGGAAATCAATGGTTTGATTTTTTTCGTAAACCGGACCTCCGAAAGAATTGAAATAGTTGAAATCGGCGGAATATCTCAAAACATCTGGGCCCAAACAATTGCAATAATTTAGGAAGGTGCCGGTCTTTCAATTAGCTAATATATGAGAATGTCTATATGCTCAGAATCGGGCAACAGAGCCTGTGACAAGATCCTAAAGGGTTCTCTATCATATTTATACACACATATGCATCAATGCATACATGTGTATATATATATATACATATGTATAGGTAAGCATGTATGTATGCAAGTATGTATGTATGTATGCATTTGCATTACCTACTTGTACCTACAGACCTGATTACCAGCGTACGTACATACATTTTGTCTAGACATAGAAAGGAAACATCTACACGACGGAAAAGAGACGGTAAGTATGATCCGGACAATAGTTGGACGTTTATACCGTGCTCCCGCGACCATATGGAAAGATCACACAGTGTCTGGCTGCGAAATTTGCACTGCCAGACAAGTTGCCGGGAGCGTATAGGGATATCTACATCGTTCAGTCCATCTCCATGTATCATCATATTCTGTCATACATGTTGAAGTTGTTTTGTTTGTATATTAACATTTGTGTATCAAAGACAAGGTACATAGCCCAAACATGACATCACCAACTCTTCACACATGCAACGACACGTGAAAACACACAAAATCCAAATGCCCGACTCTTATAAACAGTCAGCAGTAACCAAACACATACCTACATATATATATATATATATGTATATACATACGCACGCACCTACATGCAATGATACGTACATACAACCATACGTACAGGTTGCCTGAGTATGTACATACGGTTGCATATGTACACACAGACATGCGCAAAAAAATGCATACGTGCACACTTACGGCAAGACACATGCAGAAATACGTTCATGCGCACACATGTGCAAACCCACATACATGGAAACGTAGATCATGACATACATACATACATGCATACATACTGTAGTGAACATAAGTACCTGATCACAAACATACATGCATGCATCAACACATACATACGCACATACATACATACATGCATACATACATTCGTGTCCTTCCATGCCATTACGGTACATACATACATACATGCATGCATGCAAACTTACACCAATACACAAACGGCCGCATGGTTGCAACCGAGCACTCGCAGCACTTATGTACACACGCACATGCTCAACTGCCTACATATGATTTGACCAAAATAGGCGCATGCAAAAATAAGCGTGTGCTCGTACGCAACAAGGGCAATACCCGAGTACATCTATACCTGTATCTACATGACAGTATCTACACGCGAAACAATATAAATACAAGCGTGTACATATACACATGATTCCCATACCACAGAATATGTGGACATGGTCCACTCGTGCCCGCACATACATTTCATATACATACATTGCATATAAACTCATAACGGGTGGAAAGCCCGGCGAGGGGCCGTCAAGCATCGCACGCACACACCCGCACACATCTATTTATGTACCCATATACAAATATACATGTATATACATATATACATCTGTACTATGGCAACAATGGGTCCACACTTTTCCTCTTCATACGCAGACATGTACATAGCACATACACATACGTGTGTAGGTGTTTTTGAGGCTTGATGTATGTGCACGAGTGTGTACATGTGTGTCTGTGATTATGTCAATATCTTTTACATTCAATCTGTGCTTTGCTTTGCCCTGGGGCAAGGAGAAAGGGCAGTCCCCTTCCCCCGATCGTCTGAGCAGCCCCGTCCACCATTTTGGCTGACGGGCTCGGCATTTCATCTCTCTCTCTCTCTCTGCCGTGCCATCATTCACGTTCAATGCACATATGTAGTATGTAGAATTCACAGAAAGAACAAACACAAAAAACAAATATATATATATACGTACATATGCAATATGTTTGCATTTTATCGGTATGTCTGCATGTGTGTTGTTTGCTTCCTTGCAAGTACAGACAAACACACACACACACACACACACACACCCGCGCACACACACACACAGACACACAGACACACAGACACACAGACACACAGACACACACACACACACAGAGACACAGACACACACACACACACACACACACAGACACAGACACACACACACACACACACACACAGTCACACACACACACATGATGGGGCAGTGAAGATGAGCATGTGGCAGCATGTGCTTATGCTGTCCAGGCATTGCAGCTGGCGACTACGATGCTAGCGTTGATGATGATGATGATGATGATGATGGCCAGGCTGACTCTTGCTGTTACGGTAGGCCGCTGGCTGACACCCGGGCTTTTGTCGCGGCTGACGTTAAAAACATTCAATGCGTGACAATCGATTTGTGTGAGACATTGTCCTTGGAAGTGTTTTACTCCCAAGCTCGAACAATCAGCAAACCGAGAAACCTGAAAGAGGAACCACAAACACCACCAAAACACTAAACACCAACGAAACCTCAACCCTAAACACCCCTGTCCGGTACACACCTGTCAGGTTCAAGACCCATCGTGTGCTGCTCAGAAGCAGGAATAAAACTCCGTCTACCACAGCACCGAGGGCCAATGCAGGAGAACCTGACTGATGGCTTCGGGTTGGGGGTTACAGCATAAGCGTAACAAAGGCTTGGGTTTTAGGGTTGCGAGCTTACGATTTTGATGGGAGGCCAAAAGGGGGTTCAAGATTCTTGGGGTAGGGATTCCTGAATATGAACCCTATTATGCGAACCCTAATCCCTACTAAACCCCCATGGGCTAGAACCCCTTTTGGCCTCCTATGAAAGGGGAGCTTGAGGTTGAGGGATCAGGCTCAGTAATTCAGGATTCAGAAGAAGCCACCAAGCGCCTGACGCCTGGGAACAGGTAGGAGGTAGGACCGGTAGGATTGGGGGGGGGGGGAGGGGGGGGGTACCCTTGGGGATATAGACCCTCTCAATAAGGTCCTTTTTAAAAAGAGCCAGAAGTAGGGTCCAGGAGGGTCCCCTTTCGACAGGGTCTTCCTAATACCACCTAGGAGCAGAAGGGCAGCGGTGGAGAGCAAGATGCCGACGAAAATTCCCGTGCCTGAGACCATAGTAGGAAATCGGTAGTAAATGATATGGGAGTTTCCGAAAACAGGGGATCTTAATATAATACCTACAAAATCGTAGGATCCCCATTATGAGGACCCCAAAATAAGGTACCCCTATTTTTTCGGAAACTCCCATGAGGCTTCTTCGCTTTGGAAACATAAAAGTGAATTCCTTAACCCCTAAGCCGTTATAGAACCCTTAATGGGTAACTTAAGTCAAAACTCCTTAACGAGAACCCCCAGGTGCCTGGAAGTCTGTGGTAGGCCAGGTTGAATGCTCCAAATGAGCCCTGACATGACAGGGCTGGGAATCTTCACAGTGTAGGCTTTAGGGGCGGTTTAGGGTCTGAGGTACAGAGTGTAGGCTTTAGGGTTTCGAGGGTTTAGGGTCTGAGGTACAGAGTGTAGGCTTTAGGGTTTCGAGGGTTTAGGGTCTGAGGTACAGAGTGTAGGCTTTAGGGTTTCGAGGGTTTAGGGTCTGAGGTACAGAGTGTAGGCTTTAGGGTTTCGAGGGTTTAGGGTCTGAGGTACAGAGTGTAGGCTTTAGGGTTTCGAGGGTTTAGGGTCTGAGGTACAGAGTGTAGGCTTTAGGGTTTCGAGGGTTTAGGGTCTGAGGTACAGAGTGTAGGCTTTAGGGCTTCGAGGGTTTAGGGTCTGAGGTGCGGGTTTCGACAGAAGATTCCACCAAAGATTTTGTGAAGTGGATGCCTCGAAAGTCCAGAGCACTTGCTCAAGCACCAGGAGGACAAAGAAAACGGCAATCATCGCGATGAGGATGAAAGAGTTGACCAAGACTTCAGCACACATGCTCTCACGCTTGCGTCTTAGGAGGAATGCAAGCCTGCTTGTAAGGAAGAACAGCACTGGCAGAAATCCAGCAGCCCAGCCGAAGCCTCGAACAATGGGTCTCATTGTTCCACTGAGATCGAAGGGTTTGAAAAGGAGGTCGTAGTCGGGGATCCTTAACGCGGCTTCCACGGCTGATGGGTCAAATGAAGACCAGAACCATGGCAGACCAGCAACGGCACATTGCTTGTAGGTGAAGATCTGCTTGGACAGCTGGTCCACTAAGCATTCTAACACATCTGTACGTACCCTGGTCTCGAAGTTCTCGAGGCTGCCGAACCATGTGATAATGCATCGGAACACGATTTGCCTATCACAAACCATAGTCCCGCCGGATTCGTCCTTGTGATCCGTTGAGCAGCACCAGCAGAGGCTCTCCTTCGCGGTGAAGCCTGCCACCTGCTTCTCCAAAAGCTCCACCGACCGCCAGTACTCACGCAACATCGAACCTGAGGAGCCCAAAAAAGGTTAACCTTCTCAAGTATGGTAGGGTTATCTATGGGTGGTCGTCGAAATTATGGTGCCTGTTTGGGTCCCTCTTATAATACGGCACCTATTTCTTACGGTAACCAAAAAGAACAACCACCCATATAAACCTCAAAAGCTTGAAGGTTACCTACTCAGCTACTAAGGAACAGCTCTTGTAGAAGCCAACGTAGCTGGCCAGGCCCATGAGGGGCCACATGATGGAATGCTGACCAGTAGGGATCACGCTGATCACCACGATAAAGAAAAACAGAGCCACTGGCAAAGAGATGAAAACAGGGCCCAGAATTGTCGGTCGGATGATGAGTTTCACTTTGTCTGCGGGGCGGCTGTGCAGGTATGCGGCCAGCTCGAAGACGCACCTCGATTGATCTCGGGCTAAAAAACCGCACACTCCAGGCGCCAGCTTCCAGGGGAGTTGCATAGTTAAAGCAAACTTCCAAAGCAAACATGTACTGGGTTTGGCCCTGACACCATAGGCGATGAGTATATGAGGGGTCCCAAAGCACAAGCATCGAATCTGAACACTTGAGGAAGGCCCCCATGCTGACCAGGCCTGGTGTGACGAATTAAGTTGGGCACTATGGTGTGGCACAAACCCCACAAACTCCTTCCCCCGCCCTCTGGCTTCGGGGTTGGGTGCGGCTTCCCCGCCTGCCGCCTTCAAGGAATTGTCCTGCTGATCTATGCACAAAACATCCAAAAACACCCGCCGACGCGGCTGCAAGAAGAAGAGTGCCCAGCAATACAGAGCAATGCTCGCTCCGGTGCACCAGAAGGAAGCTGCGGGGTGCTCTCTCCACCAAAGAGTTTCCGTTGGCAGATGGCTCCATGCGACGAGTACCCACAGAAGTAGAGCCCCCAGTGATGCAACCGCTGCTGCCGACATACCATTGCACAAATAGATAGCAGTCAGGACCTTGTGCCATGTGTTGCCATGCCAGCTGTGGCTCCAGAACTCCTGGATGTGATCGGTTGGGACACCTTGGCGGCCCTTCGTACTGCCTGAAGACCGTAAGGCTCGCCCAAAGCACGCAAGAGCTTGCGACGCCAACACGCATTGAATGATGTCTGGTCGCTCTGGCGCCATCCTTGAGACGATCTCTGCGATGTGCTCCTGGCCAAGGGCTGAAGACTATATAACATAGGGGCCTTAGCAATTAGAACAGGGTTAGGGGGCCCATCATACTATGATTATAATGAGGAACCCCACAAGACAGTATAGGCAGTATAGGTAACTATGGTAACTATTTGGGCCCATTCGAACTTTAACTTTTTTGGCCTGGGCCTCAAGGGTTCAGAAAGGGGAGTTAAGGCTTTGAGGTTTAAGACCACTCCTCAAACGCTTCGGTCTCATCGGCTTCAGGCGATTCGTCCGACACGTCATCGTCCGACTCCGGTACAGACTGAGACTGCACTTTGTGCACTCCGTCCGTTTCCGGCTTGGTAGTCTCCATCGCTTCAAAAACCGAGCAACAACTTGTGCTTGTATGTCTGTAAACGGTTCCTTGCAGAAAGGTTCTGACCGCTTCAAAGTACTTATGCCCATGGCACAGATGCATGTCAGAGCCGACCTGGACATCGAACAAGGGGGCGTGGCCGTTTTGACTTTATGGACGTCGAGCTGGGAGTAAGCTTGCTGAGACTCCGAGCCCGCCACAACCTTCGAAACTTTATCGCAAACGGACACTTCTCGTCAATGAGCCCATTTTTGCATCCGGGCTTGGGAAGTCGGCCGGGGGAAGTGACAAGCGCAGCAGCATCGCGCGAAACCGTAGCTCTACGGGCTACAGTTTATGAACTTAAGTAGACACGAGTAGACTGACGCCTTCAACTCAATGAACCCTTAACCCTAGACCCCGTAAACGCATGATGAGGCCCAGGCTTCCGCCTACCGGCGGCTCGGCTCTCCGCATCTGAGCCGCGGCTGCTTTAGCTTTGGCAATGCCATGCTGCCAGTAACTAACTGGGTGCTTGTCACAATTATGGTACCTTTTTGGGTCCTTAATATGCTAACGGCACCTAATGTTTAGGGTACCCAAAAAAGGGACCATGATTTTGACAACTACCCAACTGTTGCAGCGAATGCTGGCTGCGGAGTCGTGCCGAAGTCGCAAACTAACTTCCGCGCACATATCAGAACCCTACAGATGCCCGCAGCAAACGGAGAGCCTAAGCCAAGACTACCACAAATTCCCTATGTAGGGATTCATTGGAAACTTCGGCTTCCTAGATATATGATAGGCCCCTAACAAGTCAGGGGCCAACGTCCTAACAACGCCTTCCGAATGACCCCATCGACGAACAGCAGCCACAACACAGGTCAAGCAGGATGACCATGCAAGAATCACAACCAGATAGAAACAAGTAAAACAAAGAATAGTAGCCAAATCGACACTAGCATCAAGTCCTCGCCTATCGCCCAAACGCTAGAAACAGGCTTAATAGCAAACCCCGAAGTGTAAATCTGAAGCCTTAATCCCTCTAAGTTTAGGGCAGAAGCCACTTTCTTAGATCTGCAAGTATAATAAAGGGGCCTTAACAATTAGAGTAGGGTCTGGGGGCCCATTATACAATAATTAAAATAACAAGGAACCCCCCCAAAAAAAGTATAGGTAACTATTTAGGCCCCTATAGTACCGGCCTCGGGGACTTGTGGTGGTGCCACAGACGGCCCACCTGGGTACAGCGCTTTATGGGTTCAGGGCTTTTTTGGTGTCTTTTTCGGGTTTACGCTCTCGCAACTCGGACACAGCCAGACGAGGTTCTTGGTGCGCATGGTCAGACTAAAGGGGCTCACTCCACAGGGTTTAGTTTAGTGTTCCCTCCAAGTGCAAGGTAAGGGTCTTTTCGCTAAAATGCCAGACGCTCTCGCCTGTTCTGTCTCAGTGTATCGAGCAAATCTAGTTTGAAATGAGACGCGATCAGATACTGCTGTTATATTTAAGTTTGTGCGTCGAAATAAACAATCTGGCCCGTGTGCTGGCATCTTCGTGGCGAGGTCATCTGCCGGACCTGACATACCTTCAAAGGCTGGGCCAGGAATCTGCTCGTGCCATGACCGTATACTTTCATCTTGGCACCGCCTATCCTCGCCTCCTTCGTGTTTTGGAAGTATCTCCACTAACTCAGTGACTCAATGTTCGTGATTGATTTGGTGATACCAAGAAGTGCAACACATGACTGCGTGTCGCAGGTGGCTTCTGCGCATTACAACCGGTCCCAACTTTAGATCCAGCGGAATGATGCGAGCAAAGCATGCTTCTGCAACAGTTGATCCAAGAGGTTCGACAGTCTTCACCTGTACACTGTACACATCTGTACACCTCCAACGCGATGCCTTCGGCATGCGCGCAACCTCGACGACATGTTATGTTGTCATATCTATACATCTGTGCAACCTCTCATCTTTCCTAAGTCCGTTCAATTCTTGCTCTTCTTTCGCCCTTGTTGTTCCGAGATCATGGTTGTAGGGGAGTCCTCCGAAGCGGGCCCTGGCTGCCACAGCCTTCGCATGATGGCTGTGTAGCCATATTTGGCTGCCACAGTCAGAGGCCGCTCCTTCACAGGGCCGAACCTCTTCTGTCTGTCCGCGCCGGCTTCCAACAGGAGACCTACAATCTCCTCCCGGCCTTTGCGCACAGCTACTCCGAGAGGTGTGTCGTAATCGACAACCTGTTCTTTGTCGGCTCCATTCTTCAAGAGCAGTCGCACCATGTCCGGCTGGTCTCGCAAGATCGCCGTCACCAAGGGTGTTTCGCCACCATGAAACACTTGGTTTGTGTCGGCACGAGCCTCCAGCAACAGGCGTGCAACCTCAGTGTGGCCGCGTCTCACCGCGACATGAAACGGTGAAAGCGCTTCTAGACCGCACACCTGGTGGTCGGCGCGTGCATCGAGCAACAACCTCACGACCTCCGTGTGGCCTTCACTGCAAGCCTGAAACAAAGGGGTTACGTTGGGGTCGCTGCCTTTGCATGCAGCTTTTAAACTTCGGCTAAACATTTTGCTTTGTGATCGAAGGTTCACCTTCGCGCCAGCCGCCAGGAGCAAGCGAACGACCTCAGTCTGGCCAGAGCCAGCAGCAGCACCGAGTGGGGTGTCGTAGTAGGCTGCAGCAAAGGATTTCCGGATGCAGCCGCAGAGGTTTGGATCTTGGGGTTGCTGCAGCATGTCCTCAACCTCTGACACGGCCCCTTTTTCGGCAGCAAGCACGAGCTTTTCCACTGAGCTTTGATTCGCCTCAACGAAGGGGCGCAATACCACGAGGTGCAACTCGACGGCCGACTCCAATTTGTGGCCGTCCTCCAGAACCGTGCCATCACAAACCAGCCTAAGCCTTTGCCCATGCAGCTCCGGATTGCTGGTCAGCGCCGTTTTCAAATCACCCACATGCAAGAACGTCCCAACAGGAAAGCTTGCCAGATCCTCTCCGGACAGTCGCCGGACCTGAAGCATCCTCTTCTCTAGCTTTGTAAGACCTGGCTCTACGGTGAAGGCTTGAGAGGCGCTGCGCAGTCGGATCTGCAAGAGCTCCAGAAGCCACAGACTTCTCACAACCACAGAATCTTTAGGGGAACAACAGCAAAACCGCAGACAAAAAGGGAAAGGACCTTGTCGTTTGGGTCGAAGGAGCAGACTGAGAAAGTATACCATAAGCCGCCAAAACAACTTGTTGAACTTGTCAAGGCCCGGTATTAATAGTAGGAACAATCGTGATACTGGTACTAGTGACGATAGTACTACTGACTGAAAAAGCAATACTCGTAATGCTAATAATAATCGTAATCATGGTAATAATAGTAGTAAGACTTAATAAGAGTAATAAGAGTTACTGGGGCCGGGCGCTAGCTGCCTGAAGCTCCGGATTCTTCGAGTTGGAGGTCATCCTGGCCGCGGCCGGGCCCAAAGAGCCCAAAACCCTTTAGTTAAGGAATATAGCCAATCATAAGATGCATCCCCTTGTAATTTAAGGTATCTTCCTTAATTCAGGAATTAATGGGTATCGGGCTCTCTGGGGGCTACAAAACTCCCTCGAAGAGAGCCCCGGGCTGTACGAAGTAGGGGCCTTAGTAATTAGAATAGGATTCCCTTTGCAGGGGGTCCAAAAGAGCTACTATAAAGGATCTACAAGGATACTAAATGTAGGGGCCTTAGCAATTCGAAAAGGGTTTTGGGGTATAATACACAATACTTGGAATAAGGAACCCCTAGAATAGTCTAGTTATTCAAGCCCCTATAGTAGAACCCCCCTCCCCCCTCTTAGAACCGCATAGCTGCATTGTCTGCCTTTAAGCGCTTCAGGATCTGCAAGGGCCGTCCAAGCTTAGGGTTTCCCAAGATTTGATACCGAGGCCGGTCTAAGAGATATGACCGCGATCCTGGGCGCAAAAGCTCAAACATCTACGCAAGTCTGAACCCCTTGCAGAACCCGCTTGAGGTACCCGTAACCCTCAAAACCATCACCCTTTCTCCCGGTCACCCGTTGCGGCCCTCCACCCAGCCCCTGGTTTCCCCTAATCCCCAAAGAGTCCACAGGGCCCCATAGTTTCGGGGCCCGGGCCTCCGCCCAGTCTGGAACATCAGAGCGCTGAGGCCGACCTAGGGACTCGTTTTTTTGGTCTCTGTATGGGTTTAGGGGTTTAGGGGTTTAGGGCTTAGGGGGTTTATGAAGGCCTCGGTTGGGGGCTTATGATTGGGGCCAGGAGTACTAAAACAATGGTTTTTCGGTGGGGCTTGCGGTCAGTAGGGAAACGCAAGGAATGAAACCAACACCCATTTGGCCTCTGTCGCTGGTTCAATTACGGAAGGTGTTGGGCTCCTGATGCCCTGAGCTCGCGAAAGCCAAGAGAAGAAGAATCGTAAACCCCAAACCAAGAACACTGAGTCACTGTAAGCCACATGCCACAAAGCGGGCACTTGACCCTAGGCCAGGCCTAATTCCCCACATGTCAAGGTGTTTAAATTTGATTATTAGACTATAGAACGATAGTTACAGTAATGATACGAATACGGCTAACAATGCAATGACCCTTTTGCTTTCTAGGTCCGATTCTAGGTTGGCTGGCGCGATTGAGTCTGAAGCCTTCGGATTGCTTGACTCTCCCCTGTTTTTGATACGGGGCTCTGTTCAGATTTGGTCGCCAGGGGATTTGGGACCTGAGAAAGTTGCGTGCTTCCTATGCCAGACTTTGCTGCCGCGGCTTCTGGGGACAGGATGGGCATAAAGGTTTGGGAGCTGAGTGACTGGACTTTGAGGGGCTGAAACGGTCGGCCTGGATCAGCCGGGTTTAGCATGCCCAGAAGCGAACCCAAACCCTGGGGATTCAAACCGAACGACTAATCTCAACATACACACTAAGTGCCACTAAGCCGGGCAATGCCACATCCGAAACTTTTCGCCCTAAGCCCCAAGCCACAAACTTGCAGGCTTCGTTGCAAAAGCGTCCGGATTTCT